GGTAAGCATGACGGTCCTGCTATCGCTGCCGCACTCGAGAATATCGTATTTGTCGGATCGAATGAGACATACGGATCAATTAAGACATCAAATTCATAAGGGTGACACCCCTTCTGATTCACTTACAAAACTCTTTAAATTAATGAAATGCGGCAATAACGAAAATATAATATATCGAATCCAAACAAGTTCTGTGATTTGAAGTTACTCAGGCACAACAGCATCTTCCGGAGGTGACAACAAGTAAGTCCTAAATTTGCCATTGGCATCTCGATGGCCTTTAGGAATATGGTTTGCCTTTATAAAGCCACTGATAATGGCCTTCTTGTCCACCATATCCCAAGCCTTACCAATTATATGAGACAAGAGCAAACGACGCTCACTTGCGCTTCTAGAAAAATCATGGTCCCTGTGCCATTCGAGATATAGATCTCTACCTAAATATTAGAAGCTAGCAAATGCAAAATATATAAAGGAAACGTACTGTATCTTGTTCTTGAATGAGTGCATCACGCTCACGTCCATAGGCTGACTGAGCCCTGTAATTCATCGAGGAATGTAATGCACTTTTGTGCAACACGTATCCTCAAGATACTGTTTCACGCTCTCCATCTTATGCACCCAAAGGCTATCTAGCATTAGCATGCGGCATCCCTCAATAGAAGGAGTCCATATCTAACATAGCATATAAAATATAACACTTAAGTAAATAAAAAAACGACAAATATTGCAATATATACCTCTTCAATCCACTTCAACATGGTTGCATTGTCACACCATGCCTTTTTCTGTGTGGTATGAACGACACTGGGATGTCCCCAATTAGGGTTGGACACCTCGGTGTACACGTCCGCCCCAGGGACACCGGAGAACACAACAAAACGCCGGTAATTTTTCCCGAGCGCTGATGCGCAGAGAAACACACTGCAGCGCGCCCCGTTTTCTCCCATTCCTTACACAACATCGACGTTCTTGGCCCCACGAACGTCTATTGTTAAACGGCCAGGATTGTCGATGCACACTCCGGTTTGTTCCATTTTGAGGAGGCTTCCATACCGATCTATCGCAGTGTAAGCGGTAGGAAAAAAACTCGCCGTCCTCAACTTCACAGTTTATAGTCCGGGAAAAGACGTCAGCAATTTCCTAATTTGTACAAATATTTTCAATGAAATGAGTATAACCTTTAAAACAAATCGAAATTT